TGTGTGTGTGTGTGTGTGTGTGTGTGTGTGTGTGTGTGTGTGTGTGTTGAAGAGCTCACTAGCCTTTCTCAGCACCTTTAAACGACACAACCTGCTGCAAAGACTTAAAAGAGCTTGAGAGAGCAGCACGCGACCTGTTTAATCTTCCCCCTCTTGCAAGACCCATCGCGGCCCGTTTCATCTCCCCCACTCAGCGAGGAAACAAGACGGTCAGACCAGGAACCAATTAATGCAGATTAATAAACATTAAATACTTTGTTTGACTACTGCCTGCTGCAGTACTGACTGTTATAAATGTCACTCTTTGTGAGCAGCAGATCAAATCATCGCCGATTTAAACTCTTTCCAAGAACACAAACAAAAATGTAAGGATGTTCTTTATGCTTCCAATAATTATAATAAATGTCATAGTGTTGAACATAAGCCTCACTAATACCAATGTGTCCCAATTACAAACTGCGTTCTTATTCCATATATATGTAAAGCTGGGTTTAATTAGGTATAGATCAGAACCGTCGCATTAACACACACATCATAGTAACGTTAAAAAAAGTCATGATATACTGCATATGTCAAGTTATATTGTCCAGCTCTACGGGCAGTTATTATCTATTAATCTTAAGTATATTTTTCTTGTTAGTATTCTTAACATAATGTAGTTGTAGTCGTGCATCGACAGATGTCAATCAAACTGCGATTTAAACTAAACAAAAGGAAATATTGAAATACTTAAATGTGTTTAAAATATTGGTGGAGTGTATATCAACTGCACACTCCGACATCTAACACAAGAGTAAAACGATTTAAAGCACACACACACACTCACACATCTGTGCGATAATAAGGATACGGTGCTGCCTGAGTAAGCCGATATCTCGGCCATGTCTTGCAGGTCCCCACACTCAGACTTAATGAGGGACAGGGACAGAGCCTCCGGCCCATGCTGGCCTGGTGAGCTCTGCCTGTGATGATGGTGGTGGTGGTGGTGGTGACTGAGATGGCCCCCTCCGAGGGATGCCATTTTGGTTCTGAGGCTGACAGCTTCCCGGGTCATGTCCATAGAATCGGGGGAGGACCGATGATGGTCCTTGGGCCCTGGAGGGTAGCCGGCTCCACCTCCGTGTGAAAGGGGGCTCTGAAAGGGGTAACCCATGAGGGGGAGAGGGAACGGGTGGCGAAAGGATGGAGGGCTAAACCCAAGCGAGGCCGTGAGAGGAGAGGGGTGGAGGGAGGGGTGGTGAGGAGGAGGAGGAGGAGGAGGAGGGAGAGAGAGGTTAGTGTTCTCTCGTCCACCTCCTCCGCCGCTCTTGCGCACCACCAGTGGCAGTGCCTCTGTTTGGTCGTTGTGCGTCGGCACACCGCTCAGTCTGCCACTCAAACCACCGAATGAATCCAGCGGGCTCGGGACGATTACATCGCCGAAGCAATGCAGCCGCTGGGTGGAGGAGTGATAGTTGGGGGTCGGACTGCCGTCGCCGTTCATACTGAGGGCCAGGGCGCCTCCGCCAAAGCGCGAGTCCGGGGTGAGGGAGGGGAGGGGGCCGAAAGGTGGAGGACAAGACGAGGACGAGTTGGAGGAAGAGGAGGGTGCTGCTGGTGTGCTGCTGTGGCAGCCATGGTGGTGACTGACGGCCTTGGGCGAGGAGAAACCCTTGACGACAGTGTCGACGACCTGCGACACGGCACAGCTGAGTTCCTGCTTCAGCGTCTCTGCTAACTGCCTTCCTCCTCTTTCTCTCCTCTTCATCACCCTCTCTACATTCCTCTCCACCACCTCCCTGCCGTTCACATCGTCCTCCATTTCTCCGTCTATCAGGGCCTGTTCTCGGAGGAGGGCTCGGGCCCGGTCCAGGAACAGGCCTGGGTCCAGCTCAGACAGGTCGTCATTGCTACGCCGCCCTCTGTCTCTGTGCCTCTCCTCCAGGCCATCAGAGCGGATACTGTCCTCGGACAAGTTGCCGTCCTCCTCTCTTTCTCTACCTCGGTCGGCCTCTCCACCTTCGCCGTTGTCTTCCTCTTCCTCGGTCTCCGAGTCGTAGATCTGGTAGAACTTCTCTTGCAGTTGACGCAGCTGTTTCTGAACAACAGAGGACAGAGACTGTTAATGAAGATGTCTTCTGAACCTAAATATCACCTGTTACTATACATGTACTGAGAGAGAAATGATAATAGTACAGTATGTCTTAGGTTATATGAAACCCACTTGGTGGACAGACATGAAATCCTTTCTATAGCAGCTCTCACATCTCTCTAGGAACAGATTCAAGGGAAAGGATAGCATGTAGGTATTCCTTGAATCTGTGCCACTTTGAAAAGTTGGCATTCTTTTCCTGAAATCCTGGGTTCCTATTATTTTACAGTGCCTTATGTTGCTAATTAAAACATCAACTCAGCAACTCCCATTTTAAATTGAAAATATGAGCTAGGTGCGGCTGGTGTTTGTGGTGCGTTTTAGCTGCAAATGTCTGGAAAGGTCTGTTCTTAATGTCGTCTTCTACCAACCTGCATGTCCTCCAGCTGCAGCTTGAGCTGCCGTCTCTCTTCCTGTCTCTGCTCCTGCCTGGAACACACTAGCTGGGTGAAGCTGTGTTGCTGCTGTGGCAGACGCTGCTTTCTCTTATTCTCCCTGTAAACCTCGCCGACCACACCGCCCCGCGAGCCTGGGGAGCTCAGGAGGGAAGAAGGGCCGTCGCTCCGGCTGTGGTTGTGGCTGTTGCCGTCTCTTCGGTGGTCATTACTGCCGTTGCTGTTGTTGCTGCAATTCTCGTTTTCGCGATTGCTTTCTTGGTTGTGGTCGCTGTTGGGCCGGACCAGTGGCGAGTGACTCATGCCACGGATGATGTTTTCCACGCGGGCGCGCTTGGCACGAAGGTGCTCGTCCGACAGCCTGTCCAAGTCGAAGGTGGAGAGTGAGAGGGGCTGAGCGTGGGAGTTGAGGCTTGAAGGAGGCGGTGGTCGCCCGAAGGAGGAGGAGGAAGGTGGAGGGGCAAGAGGAGGCCCAGGAGAGAGGCAGTCGGACGGGCTGTCTCGGTCGCGGGAGGAGTTGCTGCAGGCATCCTCTGCGTGGATCTCTGAGCCTCCACTGGACAGAGCTCCACTCCCCTGTGATGGAGGACAGGAGAACTGAATTAATAATGAATTAAACGCATTATTTAATCATTGAATGAAGGTTGAGGACTATTAATGGACTTAACATTTCACCACTACCTGTGTGTTTGTGTATACCTGGAAGCCTGAGTCACTCCCTCCATTCTTCCCCATGTTATTCTTCAGCAGGTGAGAGATGATGGTAGCACCAGGGAAAGGCATTATTGCGTCTTCGTACGAGTTGGCCCTCTTCAGCAACTTCCTCAAAACATTGGACTTCTCTCCGTCACCTTTGGCGCCGCCATGTCCGTGACTGACCAGCGAGCAGTCTCCGTCCCGATCGAGGCCGTGTGATTGGTTCATGCTATCAAACAGGGTCTCCCTGGCGTGGCTGAATAACGCACTAGCCACAGTTCTTTTCACCCCGATGTCGACACGTCGGCGCTTGGTCTGTCTGGTTAGGAGGGTGGTGCTGTCATGATCAGGCATCACGCAGGGGAGCTAAACAGACATGACCAGGGGTCCTCACAGACACGCAGGATGGGAAGTTTCCTGGTCAACCACAAACACAAATAAACACAACTTGCTTTGATTTCAATCATTTAATATCACCTGGAAAGTAGCATTTAGGTGGTTTTCATGTCCCAAATGACATCTTTATAAATTGGCAGAATTGTGCATTAAGTGATCATTTTTCAGTCGGAGAGAAACCCAATCATTGAAATTGGTAGCTATATTTGATGTCCTAATTTTGAAACAACCTAGTCTGCCCAGAAATAAATCTTTTAAATACATATTTATATTGTGAATTGTGAGATAAACTAGCACAAAAACATAAAAGATGAATTAAAATCCACTGTCTTTAGTGTTTTGTGTTTTAAAAAAATGTCAGAATTATTTCTTAGAATAAAATCTCCACATGTAAAAGACATTAGATGACTACAGATAACGTGCTTGTTTTCTACCATTTTAACTATCAAACACAGTAGACTTTAATTGATATATAAATCACAAAAATGTCAAGCAACTCAACAACAACATATCTGACTGGAGCGAATGGGGCAGCCACTTTTATCCATTCTTAAAATTACACACAGCGCATTTCTAGACCAAAAGCCAAGGGAACCACTGTGAGAAAGAACCACTCTTTAAAATAGTTCAAGGAGATATTCCCACAGAGAAGTAACACCTGCCTTTAATAACCAAAATCATTTCCCATTTCCTCTTTGTCCCCTGAGAGGTGACCTTGATTTCTGCATCTTGTGAGGAGCTGTGAATAATCGACAGGCTCTCTCTTACTGTCAGAGGAATTTCACTCCCCTCTGAAGAAAACAAAAAAATGTTTGTGTGAATGTGTGTTCATTTCATTTGTTCCACTTTTTCACACGATTTTAAAGAAATAGGTACTGAACTGACATTTCTAATATCTAATATAAACTTTGGGTGTTTTATTTTGACAAGAAAATGTAAATTCTTATAAATGCTACAACTTGTTTTTTTTTTTTACCAAGTTCTCCACATACCGCACATTCAAAGCCAGGTTATGAGGTATATTGTGTCTATTATTCGGTCAGTGTAGAAAGGTACACCTATAGTGGCCGGGAAAGCACTGCATAAAGGTTAGGTTTAATATAAATGACAATGAAAGTGCAGGATAACCTAACCGTAACTACCTCAAACTGAATTCTTAAAGAAACAAAAGTCTCAAGCCAAAGGTGAATTTACTGATTAATTTAGAGATCACGTTTTTAAAAAGCAAATTCAAAACCGTCTAAAAAGCGTCACCAAAAATAAGCCGTGGCCATTTTAAACGAGTTGCATGTTGGAAGTGAATATCTGCTTGCTCTTGTGCCCTAACACACATGCATACCGGCAGCGCTTTCCATGTTACAGGGCTGCATCTGTTTTGCAAGTGATTTCAGGGTCAGGTCTAGGGAAATATTTCAACGCTGCTTCCCACAACAGTTTGGCAGAGCTGCGCCTGTGTTCATAAGAGTTGAGCAGTTTTAATTCCACTGTTAAGATGCGTTGACGTAAAAACTGCAGCACCACTGAGATTTGAAAGAAAAAGCAAACATGCTCAAACACACATAGGGACTGAATCAGAGAAAGTAGTATGTTTTTGCCAAAACCTACAGCCGCAGACAAAGCAGACACTGCTGTGTTCCTGCAGGGCCATTACCAAATGAATTGGTTTCCAAACAGGGGAGAAGGGTTAGTTTACATGTGACTCCGAGTGTCAGCGTTGGAGACAGAGGTGTTCAGAAAAAACACTCAGCTCCTCAACACAGTGGCCGGCAGTGACCCAGATACACTCACATGCAGTACATGCATACTCTCTGTTTTACGTGATTGGTTCCTCTGGGCAGAGGTCTGACACACACACACACACACACACACAGAGGGGGAGGTAGAGAGAGAGTGAGAGACAAACAGTTTAGATTAGGGGGTCCAAAGAGCTTGAAGACTTGGTTGTATTGAAATTTGTGTCTGAGGTTAGATTAAGGGTGCATCATTGCGGGAAAAAAGCAAATGTTTCCTATCTGCATTAGTACAAAACAAGATGCATTCACCACCATCTCTGTGAACTTACTGGACTCATAGATACTCTTGTAATACCATGCAGCTACGCAAGGTGTTTAAATAGACAAGAAGTTCAGCAACTGTTGCATTCATGTTTAAAGGTGAGCACTGAAAGGAGATGTGAGAGTGTGTGTGTGTGTGGTTTCTGTATCTTAACAGAAACTTTTGTTTTAATCTGCATTTGAAGAGCAAGAATAACTTTGCTCTGCAATTGAGAACTGAAATGGGAAGTAGAGTAACTGTAAATGTCTTATTTCCATGTAGAGAGAATACAAGCTTGTGAAAAGTCACTTTCACTAAGACTTTATCTCGATGTTTTAGCCTTTTATAAATATCTTAAACTGTCTTAAAATGAAAATGTGCACGCCGTTTACTTGCCTCTGCAGTTCTAAGAGGAACCAAATAACGAGCTTATTATTGATAGCTTTAGTGTGAAGTGATCGTTGCTGCGCTCTGGTCGGAGAGCTCCGCTGTCCAGAGTCTGACAGAAAACAAGCTGATACTTTTACGCACGGCGCTATGGACGGCACACATAGAGAGATGTTTGTCGCAGTCCGAACAACCGTCCGAACAACAGTCCGCGATAATAAGACGACAGCGGGAGGACAAATCAACATATCCGTTTATTATTTTATTATAAAGCCTATACAGTTGTATTGAAGTGACGAGCTGTGCCAATAGAGAGAGATAAACACACTTGTTTATTAAACAGTTTGCTCTTGTTTTAGCGATTTTTCAGCTCTCTGGAAACGAGGCTGAATGTTAAATTACAGATCAATAAAATCAAACTCCGAAGAAAGAAGATGTCGCTCGTCGTTTGCTTTAAAGTGAGAATCGGAATATAAGAAGGTTTTAAAACACATTTCGATATTGATTGACTTGTAGGCAGGTGCGTAAATCCAAGCGAGTTGAACTCAATACCCACAAACTGGCAACCAAAGTTGAGAAGAGAGCAGTGAACAAAAGCTCGTCTCGTTTACAGCTACAACAATCGCAAGCAGACTGTAGCGCGTAAAGTCCACATTAGAAGAAACTGTTTCGGAAAATAGTCCAAAATTCATCTAAATCCTCTGGATCTGCGATGTGGGACGAGGATGGACCGTCTGAAGTTAAGTTACAGCGAACACGGTCGGACAAATCACACACCCTCATATACACATGCAATATATCAGCCCACGAGCGACAGTAATAATGGTAATAAACAATACGTGTTTCCACTTACTTCTCTCTCTCTCGAGCGTTTCTCCAAGTCGGTCCGTCGAAGAAATGGCGAACACGAGAGACAGATCCGCACTCGTCGTTGAGATCAATGCCGTAATTTACTACTGCAAAGTGGAGACGTATGCAGAGAGAGAGAGAGAGAGAGAGAGAGAGAGAGAGAGAGAGAGAGAGAGAGAGAGAGAGAGAGAGAGAGAGAGAGAGAGAGAGAGAGAGAGAGAGAGAGAGAGAGAGAGCGAGAGCGCGCGCGCGCGCGCTGGAAGTGTTCAGTATCAAGCGCACCCGGTCCGTCGCGAATCCTGATTCTCCCTCTGACCGACAGCAACACTCTCATTAAGACACAAGAAGAGACGCGCGTGAAGGATACGCGAAGACGCTGCGTCACTGGCCCGGGAGTGAGGTAACGACTCCCCCTGACCAATAAGGAAGAGGAACCGGGGACGCTGGATTGTATTTATAAGGAGCCCCCCGAAAACAGCGCGGAGTGAGAGAGGAGCAGAGCATGACACGGAGGGTAAACTGAAAGTCAGGTTCAGCAACCTTTCTCTTTTACGGAGAAGCTGCAGACATATTTATAGAATCATTTCATTGTTTAACTTGAACCGGACTTTAAGTGCATCAGCTTCCCTCTTTTGTGTTCAAACTTTGAACTCCTTTTTTTATTTTATTTATATTCATGATCGAAGGGAGGTCAAACCCCAGTTTGTGATACAAACACATCATCAGTAAATCAAAGCTGTAAATGTAACACGTGGACTTACTTCCAGACTTGTGCCATTAAATTAAAATAACTTTAGAATGTCAGTTATGATTGAAGAGCGATTGGTTTTATTGTGTGCATGTTTTCACTCTTGTTACATCAGTATGTTGATGTTCAGGTGCACTGTAAGCACTCAGCTCTATGGTTATTACGTTTTTTAATAAACACAGGCTCTGAATTTACGTGTTTTTGTTTTCTCCTCACTTCCACCCTGTTTTAGCCCACGACTATAATATACACAGATACACGTTTGTCTTCATGCAGCTGTAACTGCCTGTGCGTAATTGGAAACGACCGCGCGCCTCTATGCGGAGCTCCATGTCAATCAAAGAAAGTTCCCCAAAACGCAGAAAAGTAACCTGATACTTCTGATGGGAAACTCGACTCTTCTCCCGAGATCGGAGGTCAGGCCACCACTGGAGCTGATAGGGAGTCAGGGTTTTGCTCATGGACACTTCAGCACAGCGGAGGCTTGCTTCGAGCTGGAAGGATCTCTCCGTTTTCCACCAATCCAGACCGCAGTCCGTCCTTCTAAAGAGACCGAGAGGTGCAAATTAAACAGAATCACAGGAATATTTCCACTTTGAAGCGAATTTTAAATTACAACACGCTGAGGCCTTTTGACAAACAGGCGTCCTAAAGATCCAGCGATGAATCCTGCGCCGACTTTTGATTTATTGCATAAGAATATCAGCGTTCTTTGTCACATTTTCTATAAAAGACTTAATCACAGTTGGGGCTAATTAAATTAAATTGTTGAGACTTGGAGTTTTGTGTTTGTTGCGTCTTTATGCTGAGTTAACACGCACGTTCCTGCAGTATCAAGGCTCACTGATGAGTCTGATTCACCGCTTTCTCTTATGAGTGCGCAGAAAAAAAAGAGAGAATTCTTGCAGACTGGTCCTGTAGGACGCATCACGTTTAAATCCGCTGGAGGTCAACAGACGAGTCAAATCTAAATCACAAAAACAGAAAAAAAAATATATGAAGCGAATTAGTTTTTTATTTTTCAGGGAAGTTAATCCGAGTAATTAAAACAAGACAGAGTGCAGATTGTGTCTTTGCTCATAAAGAATTATGTTTATGTGTATTAAACAGTTTATGAGAGAAACGTATGAGGCAGATTACCTCAAGAGAACCTCACGGAACTAAAGAAAAAAACGGTGTGAGAGAAAAGTGGAACTATATATGATGTCGACATTTTTGGTTTTATATTTAAAAAGCCGTTTATGTCAAATTAGATCAGAGATTAACTGGATTAAAGCAGATTTGTACAGTATGCATGCAGAGGTATGCCAGTGCGCCTCGTGTCTGTGTGGGCCAATGTATAAAAAACACGTATTTCCTATAAATACAGCGCGTTTGTAATTCACAGTTATTGAGAAGAAACCATTTTATTGAAGCCTTGTGTTCCTGCGGATTCAAACGAGGTCATTCAACATGGAAACGGAATTTTCGCATTATTATTCAATATGAAATATCAGCGGACCCTTTTTAACAAACCAGCAGCATAACAGCTGTGCATGCCAGTGCCACTTATCCAGCAGCTCTCCTCTTAACTTAATTACGCACGGGAATAATCGGCATTTACACGAAGTTACACAATTATTTAGCCTACTCGTCAGCTGTGACGTGCGGGTTCATTTGTAGAAAAGGTAAATATTAAAGCCCAGAAATGAAAATGAATATTTCCCCCCGAGGAGACGGATGTGTGTTCCGTGTTACACAGGTTGTCCTGCATGCAGAGGCAAACAGGCCCAGGTTTTCTAATGATCCCTTGCCAATTATTTAGCACAGACATGGCAGTTGAACTTCACAAAAATGCAACACACAAACTTTTGTTTCCACTTAAACAACGAGCTGTAAAAGATGTGACGTATTTAAACGACGGGTGATGCCGTTTTGTAGTTTAGTAACTTTTAAATGAATGTGAATATTTCTCTCTTTATATATCCGATCCGCGCATCTGCGATTTAGATTTAGAGACGTTTAGAGAAGATACTAAGTTTTGCTCCTGAGCTTTTGGAAAAATATGTATTATGGAAAAATATGTATTTATATAAAAAAAAATCCCAGTATTCTAACTGTGAGGCCAAATAAAGGAGGGGGCAGTGTGCTGTATGTCGAGAAGAATGGACTTATCTGTGGAAGGAGGAGGGCACCATTTTGGTTATGAAACAGTTTAGCTGATGAAAATGTTCGGAATGAGACAGTTAGAAAAAGAAAATATTGGCAATTTACAGGAAAAAGGCTAAAGGAGTTCAAGGGCAGTTGCTAAATTTATAACACTAGAAAATAACAGCTACATTGTGACCAATGCAGGATGAGAAACCACCTCTAAAGAGTGTAGATCATCTCCTCTCATAATTATGTGCGTTCAGTATTGAAAATATTTGTTGCTGCAGCTGTTTTCACAATCATGAGTAGAAAATAAATGTAGGCTATTAATGTTTAACTCGTTGACCTCCCTGCATGTGTTTACATGCCTGATGTGGCGATGACCCTCCACTAGTGTTTGTGTGTGAGTGATGGTGAGAGTGTGTGTTACTCTGTGAGAGAGAGAGAGAAAGTCAACCACACACACACACACACAGTAGTGGAAAGTGTGTGTGTGTGTGTGTGTGTGTGTGTGTGTGTGTGTGTGTGTGTGTGTGTGTGTGTGTGTGTGTGTGTGTGTGTGTTTCGTTTCGGTCATGGCCAGTCACCCTGAACAGTCCCTACAGTTTACTGAACACCGACATCCTTGACCTCACAACCCAAATACCAACAGTGAGTTTATTTGCTGCTAATTCATATCAAAGGAATTAACCAAAGAGTCAAATTTACAATCCAGAGAAAAAACACAATAGCGCCCACAGTAACATGTGAGGTAGCTTCTTCTTCATTATGGATTAATGTGATATTTTTCAAGGACTCACTTTCAATATTTGATGACGTGTGTGATGCAATAAGGAAGGACGACTAACAACCTGTTACTGCATGCACTCCAGGCTGTCTCTGTGATGATCTTCACTTTTTACTGAACGGACTTTAAGACCATAAAAAGTGAGTTTCTCAGGCATTAAAGATGCACCGTGTGAGCAGACATTTGAGGCACATAAGAATAAGAGTCATGAGTCGTTGACCACAGGTTTAGTTTAAGTTGTAAATTGTTTTATTCCAGTTCCACTTTTCTGTTTCAACCAAAGACCGAAGAAGACACGCACATCGCATCAACGACATCTCTCTTCTCTACTTCTCTTAAGGATTGTTCTGACACAAAGGGTAATTGTTTTTCTCGATCAGTCGATTAGTTGCCTGGTCTATGAGCTTTTAGAAAATGGTGAAAAATGTCGATCAGTGCCCAAGATGACATCCTCAAATGTCTTGTTTGGTCCACAACTAAAATATATTCAGTTTACTGTCATAGAAAAAGGAAGAAATCAGAAAATATTCACATTTAAGGAGCTGGAATCAGAGAATTTTGACTTTTTTTCTTAAAAAAAGGACTCTAACCGATTATCAAAAATGTTGTAGATTAATTTAAAAGTGGACAACTAATTGATTCCTTTTTTCAGCTAGTTTGGCTCTATTGTGTATCTCCACGGCATATATCAGCACCTGTTATCAGCAGAAAACCTTTTCTCACTGGACTAAAGTAGACTTGAAGTTTTGTTGGAGCCAACTATCTGCTGTTAGCGATGCTACATCTTGAGGGATCATCTAGTGGCTTCAGGTAATGTTCCTAAAAACAGCATATTCTTCCTCATAATGGCTCAATGTCATGAAAAGTTCACTTTGCTAAAAGGTTGGCACGTCGCATAAGGACACCTTACACGGGGACGCAGACATGCACAACACACACCGAGATGTGTGTTTTATCTCTGCGGCTCATCATCGCGCTGAAAAGGGAGACAAAAAGGGAATAATGAAAATAGAAAGGCAGAGAGAGGGAATAATGATAGGCCTGACACTGATGGAGGTCTGGAGGTAAAGACAGATGGATGCAGAGGTTTCTTTTTCTCCATCTCTCCACTGTTATCCTCTCGCTCTCTTTTTCTCCCCCTTTCTCCTCTTTCTCTTTTTCGTCTGCTCCCTTTCCATCAAGATGCCATTATTCAGGACATTAGTGAAGAAGCGGTAAAAGCTCTCACTGTCGAGGAGGGTCCCAGGGTCCTTTCTGAGAGCTGTGACGCAAACACGCACACACACACACACACACACTTTGACTACAGAAGTACCGTGTAGCATAGGTGAAGAGGTAAGAGGTGGTGAAAAGGTCTTATTGCAGACATTACGGTATCTCGGCTCCTCTACTCTCCTCTGTGGCCAAAAACATGGACATTAGCTGACACAAAGAAAAATGAACAGTGCTCAATAAAGCAT